GCTTTATCCCAGGGCATTGTGTCTCAAAGTTCTGGGGTGGGGAGCAAGAATTATATTTTAAAGAGCTCCTCATGTCAAAATCTATGACATGAGCTTTGTTTGCTGGTGAATCAATGGCAGAATCCAGGTCCTAACCCTATAATCCTATCATAATCTTAATGTGGAGTCAGTTATCCTGTGGCAGGCTCTTCATTGTGATTCCACTGTAATCAACAACAAGAGATTGAGCTTCATTGAGGAAACAGCATCTATTGAAATACATATGTCTTCAATAAAAAGTCTTCACAACAAAAAGACACTAAGAAATATTGCATCACGCAATAATGACATTCGAAAATGTTTCCATTTCAAATGTTGTATCTATGTGGCAAAGCAATCAGAGCATAAGGGGGGCATAATTAGTCATTTTGGTCCTTGGTACCAACTCATCTGTGGCCTTGATTAATTAGGCCACAGAGTCCAGACAGGTCAATCAGCTGGCCAAGTTGCCCTAAATCCCCAGTGCCATGATGCTCCATCTGGGTGCTTCAGCCACATACACACAGGCCCAAATCTCTTTGTAAACAAAAGGATAGGTCTACACACTCAGGGAAAAGTAGAGGCTAAAGGGATACTTTTGCTGGCAGCATTCAAACAATTATGGTAAAAAAGGAGTTAAGGATCCAGACTTAACACAGAAAACTGCTCAGTATGTCATTTTGCACATGAAGACCCAGCCAAAGTTATTCACTATTATTTGTACATCTTCTTAGCATATTGAACTAAATGCAATAATTCAAAGGCTGTTGAAATTACTTACAATACGGAAGGCATCGACAAAAGGTATTCTTCCCTCAAGGGGCCCCAGCTGAAAATCACACATATGGAGAAGTACATAACTATTCGCAGTATTCAATGTCTAAATTATGCATACACATTACTAAAACAAGGTTTTATTAAGATGAACAGATTACTAGATAAGATTCCAGCTGCCAACTGTGAACCACCAGTAAATGGCTTGTGATTTACCAAGGGGATCTTCTTTCATTTCAGGGAGGGTTGTAGGTGATGATGAGTGGACTGTTGCATACCCAGGCAAGCATCTCTTTTATTCTTTTGCAATGAAAGAAATAAATACATACATATATTTTCAGTGGATCTTTTTTTCTCCTTGACAGTCTTTTCAATTTTTTATTTATCTTATGTGCCCTGTGGATCCCAGACCCAAATCACTTTCCCTTTGAGCCTATCTCATTTGATGCTGATAAGGTCAAGAAGCAAGGATGAGGAGTCCTAATTATTCCACCCTCGACCTATGCAATCTTGGGCAAATCACTTAACCTGTTTCTCCGTTTTCTCAGTTGTAAAGGCAAGAATTAAGACTAGGTAAACTCAAGGGTCTCTTCCAGTTTCAGTGTCCTAGGATTCTACAATTCTGCCCCTGCTTCCCTTGGCCTCAGGCCAACACCTGTTTGTTGTCTGAGAGTGTTGAATTAGTGCCTTGCCTGAAGTCAGTAGAAATGCTCTTCCATTTCTTAGTTTCCCCACCAAACAGGTTAGTCCTCCCACTTCCCATGTAGTGGGTAGCTAGTGGCTTGAGCACTAGGAGGCTGGGGAGCCTCTCCCATCGCACGTCCTTGCTGGCAGCCCCATGGTCAGGTGTCTGACATCAAGGACACAGGTGGCACAGCAGCCACAGTCAGCACTTAGAGGCACACAACACTCTCCTACACAGCACTTTCAAAACAGTCAAGGACACTTAAGGCAGACAGAGGGCTGAGGAACCATAGATGTTTTAGTCAATTAATATTGGGAAGAGTTTTGGATGTGGGAAGAATTCTTGATATCATATTTTAACCCTGCCTCCCCTGGATCTACCTGTGTGCACATGACGCTCAGAACAATTGCTGAAAATTGAGAGTGTAGTAGCAAGCAGGTTGTCAAATGTTTGTGGGTTCTCCCCCGCCTGCAACATAACTGACCATTTGTGTTGGTGTCATGTGTAGACAGCCTGCGGGCCTTTATAGTGGAATTCATTCCAATAGTTGAAGGTGGACTCTACTGTGGGTATCCTAAAAGAGGAAAAGTTCTGATAAAAGGATGTATTTAACCTAGAAATAATAAAGCAAGGGGAATGCAAAAGCCAGGGTATGTATCTGTAACAGAATCAGGAGGGACCCAATGGCCCTGTTGCCAGTGGTTTCATAGGTTTAATCTTTGAAACAGTCTTTAAGGACAAAAAGACCTGAGACTATGGCCCCCAGACACTCTGCTAACTCAGAACTGAAGCCACTCCCAAAGTCCACCTTTCAGCCAAAGATTAGACAGGCCTATAAAACAAACAATAACACACGTGAGGAACGTGCTTCTTAGTTCAATCAAGTACAGGAGACCAAATCGGGGAATACCTGCCCGAAAGCAAAGGCAAGAAGGCAGGAAGGGACAAGAAAATTGGACGAATGGACACAGGGAACCTGGGGTGGAAAGGGAAAGGGGAGAGTGCTGACACAATGTGGGGATTTCAACCAAAGTCACAAAACAATTTGTGTATAGATTTTTGAATGATAAACTAATTTGCACTGTAAACTTTCACCTAAAGCACAATAAAATGTAAAAAAAAAAAAAGGACAAAAAGATTTTGTATGATCAGCTAGAGGTTATTTTTCTTTATGCTTGGACTACAGGCAAGGGCATAACTATCAATGAACACAATAATAGTAAAAGCTACCATCTATTGAGTACTTATCTGGGTCAAAAACTAGGATAAATGCTTTACCCACATAACTCACTTAATTTTTGCAATGGGAGCGATATGGGCTCCTATAAAGAATTTATAAATTATGAGAATTGTGGTTAACCACTATGAGAAGGTTTGGGATTTTCTTTAGAGATTTTTAAAGAAGAGGGAAGGGTGGTCTTTTGGGATCAGCTTCAGGAAGGTCTTGCCTGGAAGCAGGAGATGAGCCAGATCTCTAAGCCCTTCTAGTTCTGGGAGATGAGTCTGTTTCCTCAACATTTTGAGTTCTAGTTCAAGTGATAGGATGAAATGATGTTGGGAGATGAAAAAGTCCACTCACTCTAAGGTGAAGGTGGAGTCAAGAGTGAAGTGAGATTAAAAAAAACTCCCTGAACTTTAAAAAAAATCTTGGCCTTATGATGAGACCCAATTGCAATGGTCCACCATAGAACAATTAACTGATTTTAGGTATTCTGACTGTTTGCTCTTTTAACCTGCTTGGTTTAAAGTGTCTATGCATTTATATTTAGTGAAAAATAATGGGCACATTGGGATTAAAACTGCATAGTCAGAATCTGGCATGTGCAATATTGGCATTAACATCACTTAGCTGTAACCAAATGAACTAAGTGCTCAGGAACAGCCAACTAAACACTTCTGTCAGTTAGCAGTCTCGCAGGGATCCCAACAGAGCACAGCCTGAGAAATGTGGTGCTGTCCTCTTCAAAGGGACAGGGAACAAACTCGGCGTGGCTTTGATACCCATCAAATTATACCACGGAATTTAACAATGTTTTTATAGCTCCCCTCTAATTGTTTCAGGTACAGGCTTTTTTAGTGTTCTCCCCCATCTTGAGAGGTCTATTCCTGTTTTTCATCTATTTGGATGGCTGACTTTCACACAACGTTGTAGGAAAGACGCGTCACAACTGGTAATGCATTTGAGCCTGTATGTTTTTTCTTTCACTGGTTAATATCTGGATCTATGTAAGCTTCTCTGATTAGATAATTTTCTGGAGAAAATGAGAATAAGACAGCTTCCCCTAGGACCAGGCTCGATGTGAGCATAGGCCTGCATGTTTCCTTAGTGTATCTGGTTTCACTTTAGGCATGATTATACCTTCCCAAAGAGAGGCAATGAGCTGATTACTGTACTAAACTACTGCAATTATTTTTAACAGTGTTTGTAACACTGCAAGCCATCTAGATGCGATTTCTGGAAAAGAACGAGCTACTCCACCCAAATGTGTAACAAATGTGCTCGACTGGCATTTGGAAAGAAGAAAGAAATGCTGATTAAAATTTAACATCAACTTGGCCAGACTCTGGGCTGGACTGGAAGAACAGAGTGCTGCTCAGTGAAAAGCCAGGGATAGGAGTGATGTGATTTTTACTCCTAGGGATGAAATAATGAAGAAAGAAGGGCCCACTAATTCCTTCATGGCAGTCTATACAATCTCAAATGCCAAGAGTTATTTAGGACCAAATCTTGTCACTGCACATGGCTTTTCCTTTTAAAAAGCTTTATTTGTAGGTGTATAGATCTGATCTCAGTGGAAAGAAAGAATATCCAGTCTCTATCATTGTCCTGAAGAGAACAAATGGTTCTGGAGCAATGATGGTGGATGCAATAATGCTGAAAATGACCCTAGTCTAAGCACTATTCACAGGGTACCTGGCCTGGCCAGTCTTGAACCTCTTCCACTGTAACCCTGCTGGTTCTCAGCAGCTCTGAATGGCAACATGGCTACGACACTTTAGGGAATACAGGATTCCATAACAGCTTCTAAAGATCCTTCTTCCCTTTCCTCTATCTGTCTCAGGCTCCAAAGATGACTCACTGCCTCTATGTTCTAAGAGAATGCTTGGGTTGGAATTGAGGGAGGCACTAAACCTAGGCTGGAATGCCCTTGCAATTGAGGCAACAGAACTTTTTGCCATAATAGCACGCATGTCAAGAGATGTGATGCCACCTGCAACGCAGGCTATCTTTGTGCTCGTGAAAGATACACTCATGATATGCCATTTACCACAGAGGGACTGCCCTGCTGTCCAATGTCTGCAGGGACTAGTAAGACCTTAAGAAGAGGCATTTCTTATAAAATTAATCATAAGGGGTCCATCATGATTTGCTCAGTTTGTCATGAAACATCAAAATTACCCAGAGCTTTGAACGCATCAGTACAGATACAACACATACAAGCAAAGCTAATTCAATATGATTCCTAGAAAATTATTAAACTCCACGGTGATGGGGCAAGAAGAAAGTTTGCAGAGACAGAAAGAGAAAGGAGAGAGATAGAGAGGAGAGAGAGAGATGCAAACCAGTTTTTAATATTTCCATTCTTAAGAGTCTGATCCCACTGGCAAAAGTGAGATCCTGCCCAAATTGGCCAGAGGCCTATGGTGACCAGGACTGTATCTGAGCAGAGCTGCAGGAACTACAGCCCTAGTCCTAATACAAAATGAGAGGCAGTTTATTGTTAAAATACAAACATGAAAATACTTCAAACCATTTCGTTAGCAGCATAGTTCCAAATGCAACATTCCTTTTATCAATCAAGTCGAGATCATGTGCTAAGTCAGCTAAGACCCTTCAAAGAGCAGTGCAAAAGAGGGAGTGAAGACATCTTTCCTTTTAAATGGCAGACAATCCTTATAAGAGATTCTCTAGGGTTTTATTCTGAAGACTATTCAATTTGATTTGGGGCACTTTTTAAACAGCCATGTGGCACTTTCATGTGGAGTTCTTAGGCACAGTGTGACAGAGTCAGCTTGGTGAGCCCTTCCCCATGCATTCGGTAAAGCAGCTGAAACTCGGCAGGCAGCTGGTGGGACTCCTGCCACTTGGTGGTAAATTTGGTTCCTTTTTTGTCATAGTAATGGTATGGAAGGTCTTCCCTTGTGTTGGGGTCAAATCCAAAAGGCCAAAATCCATACAAGTGGATCTCTTCACATATTGCTGATGCAAGGGTGTACATAAGAATACCTGTGCTCAGCCGTTTGGGCGACAAATGTTTGTTTTTCCAGTACCTGTGGAACAATAAGTACACATAGGTTCAGAGTCCAGGGTTTCACATTTCAATTGGATAAGTCAATATGACTGGGCTGGGAGGTGGATTTGTTTAAGTAACTGAAATAGTACTTGCTTTGAATCTATCTTATAGACCACAAAAAAAACCTCTGGGCAGGACTGGCTACATAATTTGTGGGACCCAGTGTGAAACAAAAATGTGGGCTCTTTGTTGAAAGATTATTAAGAATTTCAATATGGCGACAGCAGAGTATTAAACCAACTGCAGGGCCCTTCTGAGCGTGGGGCCCTTCTGAGCACAAGGGCGTTCTGAGATAGGGGTCTTGTGCAACCGCACAGATAATCTCACACCCTTGAAGCTGGCCCTACTGCTGGGCCTTCCTAAAGAGTGGTGACTCTGACTCAGTGGTGACACCATAGAAGGCCACTGTTGAGAATGACTATACTTCTCATAAATAAAGGATCCTTGAATGCAGTGGAGGTGGTTGTTTAATCTAAGGAGAACTCCTCTGTCACTTCCCTACCTAAACCTAGAATTAAATTCTTCTTCCTGGGTATGGATACTTCCTGGGTGTGGAAACCCTCTTGTAAAAAACTGTATTCCCTACTCCCTCATCTCCTAACTAGGGGTTCCCAAGTTCTTCTTTAGCCTGCAAGGACCTAAGAAAAGTATTTACACACTTTTTGTGTTTAAAGAAAAGCAGCCAAATTATTGTTGTTCCTTCCATACTTAGGTAGTATTCTGAAGCCTTTCTATCTACACTGTCATATATTTGAGACTGCTGTGTGTGTGTGTGTGTGTGTGTGTGTGTGTGTGTGTGTGTGTGTGTGTATCATTGGTTATGCAAGCAGAATTAACTTGTTCATGAATCAGGTTTCTATGGACTGTATTTCTTTCTGGTTTTCATCAAACCAACATGTTTTGTTCAAACCTGAGTGGTTTGGGGCATCACGCCTAACTCCAGGGGCCTTCTGGAAGGCTGGTGGCAGGTAGGCTGCACAGGCCAGTTTCCTGAAGTTTCTAAGCATATGCAATTCCTTCTTCACTACTTTAAGCCTTCAGAGATGGGCCTTTCCCCTTCCAGGTGAAATTAAAATGTTCAATCTTGGTTTTAATATTCTTACCTAAAGCCTTCTGACAATTCTTTTGGCACAAGGAAGCTTACACTGAATAAGAGGGAGGCAAAATGAAGTCAAAAGATCACAGGACAGGGACTCAGGAAACTTGGCTTCTCCTGGTTCTGCCCAATCTGTGCAGTGGCTTTGGGTAAATAACTCCTGCTCTTTGCACTTCAGTTTCCTCATCTTTAAATTTAGGAGACGGGCTACATTACCTCTTGAAAAGGTGACTGTACATCCTGGAAACTGGGACAGTCCCAGTTGATGCCTGATATCTCTGTTGTAATTATCAGTAGTGCCCCTTTCTCTCCAAGAAACAGTTCCAGTTTGGACTATAAATTATGCCTTCACCTCTTGGACACATACCAGTTTATGAGACTAGGATCCCTACTTCTACGGGATGTCAACTAAACTGACCTGACAGTTGGAAGACTTTAGGGGACTACAGGATGGGAATAGTATATTATGCGATAAAAATCTGTAGAATTCCCTGTTTACCAGTCCTTCCAGAGCACATTCTACCTTATAATATCTGGATAGCACGTCAGAACGTTGAGGCTACTTATATAGGGGAAATTAGAGTTGAGGCAATTTGGTTAGCAGATTGAAAGGAAAAAAAAATAGCCTACAATTAATCTTGCTTTATAAAATATCTTGAATTGGGGCTCTGAATTTGGTTGCATATTGGAATCACCTGGGAAGTCATTAAAAAATAACAAATACCTGGACCTCACCAGACCACTTGCATCAGAATCTCTTGAGACAGAGCTGAGGCAAAAGTATTTCTTAAAGCTCCCTAAGTGATTCTAATGTACAGTCAGAATAGAGAATCACCAGACTAGATGAAAATATTGTGTCTCTGGTCAATCTGTCTACTGAATCACAAGAGATCGCAAAGAGCTCATAGAATACTTTTCACATGGTTTTGCACTCAAATCTCAAATTATAAAAGCAAATTAATCAATTTATGATTAATCTAGGGAGTTTGCTAATCTTGGAAATCTAAAAAATACTTAAACATCAAAAAAGGGAAAAATTTAAGTCAATTGCATCTTCTTAAAACACACACACACACACACACACACACACACACACACACACACACACACACTTGATTTCTCTAACTTAGCCACTGGCATTATCGGGACATAGCTATCCATTCAAAAAAAAAAAAAATCTTGCTTTTTGGTGATTTCCATGACTGCTCACTAGGCTTATCTCCAAGGGAGGAGACAGGGAATAGAAAGGGGAGGCTGATGAAATGCTAATCCTTCCATTTGTCACTTGGTTACCTGTTAGGGGTAGAAGACTGAGATTCTTAACTAGAATGACTCATTTATTCATTACAAAACAGAAGTAAGAGTTTGGCCTAAAGTACTAAACTAACCACAACAACTAATTAGATAGCTCCCCTACCCCCCAAGAGATTACAATATTGATTTGCCATCTGGTGGGTATGAGTTAAATGCAATAAAATATACACACCTGTTGACATGTTGCATTATATTTCCAGGCCAAGCCAATTGGACCTTTAACTGACCTCTGTGTTCAACAAAGAAGTCAACTAATGTCCTGGTAACCGTTGCTGAAGTGTGGAAGAAAAATGCAGGGATCCAAAGAATGGCCCCATCGAGCTTTTTTAAACTGAGGAAAAAGTTGTTACGGTCCTGAATGGTCAAAAGATTGTTGTAATATTTTTCCAAGATGCTGGGGTTGAAGGTGGTAAGGTTGGTTTTCCTTCCAACATCTCTCTGGAATGCCTCCGTAGGGGCGAAATTGCAACGGAAAACAAAATCTGATTTATCTATTTCTTGTCCACACTGGCTCCCTGTCAGGATCCCACTATTTCCAACCACAGCACAAATATTATAATGCTTATTCATAATGGGTGACACTTCTGGAAGTAGTGACCGGAAGTTATTGCTAATGGAGAAAACATATTTATGGCTGGAATAATCATAGTGCATCAGTTGTCCGATCCGAACACTATTCTTGGTCAAAGAAAAATTTTTTATTACATCGACATGCTGAAGAATTTCTTGCCTAAAATAAAAAGAAATTCATTAAATGCATCCCATTCAAAAGAATTGATTTTCCATTTTATGTCTTATGCGGTCATTTCATTCAGACAAGAATCTTAGGCTCATTGAACCCAAGAAAGGTTATACATTCATTATAATCGCGGTCTTTGGAGAGAGGGTTGTTTCAGAGTCTACAGACATGTGCTAATCTTTTGGTCAAGTTCTGTATGTAATCCTTTGAGACTTGCAAAGGTTGTAACTTAGTTTTAGTTGCCTTTCCTTGGTTATCTGCTCTACGTGAGCAGATATTTGATCAAGGGGGAGGCATAGGCCAAACTGTGTCAGAAAATACAGGGAAACAATTTACACAAGCCCCAAAGAGCTCACATTAACGCACAAACATTGGTGACTGAGAGTTTGTAACCAGGGACTACTTGTTTGCTATTGGATTGCAGTGTTCAAGGAATATCAGATATCAATGGTGTCCAAACAAGAGCCAAATAGATATGAGTCAGTACAGTATTATCTATTATTAAAATATGAAAATGGTAATAGCAGTGGGTGAAGTTGAATATTTAATAGAAATAAGATGATAATCTCATTAAGATCCTTTGAATAATGAAACAGGGTTATTTTTCCACTTGATTATATAGAAACACAATTTAGTTGGAGAAGTCTAATGCTCGGAAAGAGAGGCTATTATAAATCCTGAAAAAATATATGTTCTAACAATTCAGAGGATAAATAAGGCATGGGTGATATTTAGAACTAATTTTGGGTTGCTTTCATGTTGAGTTTTGAGTAAAATTAAGCATTCTCTCTCAATGTCTCAGCTATTAAAATATTTAAGAGAAACAAGTAGCATATTACTTTGAGGCTAGATTCCCCAACACTAGGAAATCACACTGAACCTCCTGTATCTTTTGCCTAAAATATAGCATGAACGATATTGCATATAATCACTTTACCTGGAATTTTATTTTAAAAAATTACTGCATTCTTGAAAGCATAGAACAATATAAACTGAAATCTTCAACCGAAAACTTTCAAAGTTACCAGTGTTGTTCTTACAAGCTGATGTAAAGGTAAGTTTAAAAGGATGCTGGTAAAAGTGAATGAATAATTACTCAATTAATAGTCTGAAAAGAGGAAAGTTATGAAAAAGAAACATTGCTCTGACTGGTCATTTGGATTATGTGGACTAGTGTGGGAAGAATATCTTTACTGAGTTAGAAATATATTTTGGGGAGGTGTATAATGTGTTTGGAAACCCTGGTAGTGTAGCGGTCAAGTAAGAGCTACAGCTGCTAACCAAAAGGTCAGCAGTTCGAATCCACCAGGTGCTCCTTGGAAACTCTATGGGGCAGTTCTACTCTGTCCTATAGGGTTGCTATGAGTCAGAAATTGACTTGACGGCAGTGGGTTTGGGTTTTTTTTTTTTTTTTGTTGTTATAATGTGTTCTACCTGTGAAAGTTTTCCATGTTGTCTGTAAAATTAATATTGGGTTAAAAACCTGGAAGTTGAAAAAGGACTTTTAGGCTTTTAGAATTAATCAATTATTTTTACGGACTAATTTCTAATTATACATTGTTTTGAAAATTTTAATCATATCCACATAACTGTAGGCCACCTTTTCAAGTAAACAACATTCTCATGACACCATGGATATCTACTGAATTTGTTTTAACTCTACTAGTAGATTAAACTTAAAAAAGAGAGAGAGCAATAGCTAGAAATGCTATGACCCCATCACATCCCCTAAATATAGTGGTTTGTAAAATAAGTATTCACACCCCTAATGAATACACTAGATGGCTCACATTCCATTTAGCGGTATAACAGTCCCACCAAGAAGGAGTAACAATTTATCTCCGGTTGCTAAGAGCTAAGAGTGGATCTAAATCACTAAGGAGAATAAATAAATTAGAATACATCTTATCCTCTTCCCCCTACCCCCCTCAAAAAAACAAAACAAACTCCTTCATATATAAAACGAGGCTACGACCAGACATAAGTAGTAAGAATGATGATGGGTAGCATATTGAAAAGTTAAAACCTGCAAAGCCATAATGAAAACACAGGCAAAACCAAAACGAAACCAAACTTAAATATCTGCATATATTTGGGCCAAGGTTTTCACTAGGAATTTGATGGAGACAAATTATGGTATTTTCTGTGTGCTTCAATGAGATAATATCATTTTAATATATATATTTTAAAAATTTCAGCAGGGGAATGAAAATGCATTGGGTGGTCTTTTTGCCATTAACCCCTCCCTCATTTTTTTTTTTTTCTTAATAGGTGATGTTGGCAGTCTTGCCAACGTGTTAACTCTGAATCACGGCCCACCATTAAGCTCTAGGTAGGGAGGGTTTTTTTTTTAATTCAAATTGGTCGTCCTGTTTTCTTTTTATGAGAGGGCACTATAGTGACAACATTGGTTACCAATCAGAGGGTTGTGCAGTCAGGCCAACCCAAGAACACAGTGCAAATACCTCTGCAGAGGGAGAGAAGACAGAATTTTGTTGTTTCGGATTTTTAAATTTTTTTCGTTTTGTTTTGCTTTTTGATTTCCAGAATTCAAAAGCAACGTTTTGGATCTTTTCCCCCTATCCTACCTTTGGTGTAAAAACGCTGTCCGATTAAATGTCCACTTAGAAGGTTTCTCTTGGAGTTCTTGGGTCAGAGAATTCGTAATGGGCACAAATGACGGGTCTAGAAACTTCAGCGCAAATTGTGACCTGGACAGGAGCGTGAGTACACAGACAAACGTGGTGGCCTCAGCTCGGAAAGCCGAGGCAGCCATTAGAGTGCAATCAGCTGGGGGACGGAGTAAGTTGGCTCCATCCCGCCCCAGGGCCCCCCTGCACTCGGCCCAATCTCGGCTCCCCACACACCCCGGGGAGGAAGAAAGACTCTTGGGAAATCCGTCTCCATTGTCCATTCCCGGGGAGCGGGAGCAACCATAAAATGGCCGTCTCTCGGAGAGCAGGGGCGGGAGCGGGGAGAGCGGCTGAAGCCGATGGACCGCGAGGACCAGAGTCAGCACCGCGGACAGCGGCAGCGCCTGCCCGACCCGCGCCGCCCTATCGCCCCTGGTGAATTGATTTTTGGAAATAGAGCAGAGATAACGGAGATCCAAGGGAAGGCTTGGGTGGCTCCTGACTTAACCTCTTCCTTCCAGAGCCTAAGTCTGCTTTCACTCCCTGTCCCGTGGCTAGGGATCCCGGAGGCCGCCGGCCAGCTCAGTTCTTCTGCCTCATTTGGGGATGCTCTGTGTTCCGTATCCCTGGCCTGGCTGGGACCACAGGTTGCAGTTTGTATTTGCCACCACCCCTCGGGAGGCCCTGCTGGGAGAGCTTCTTGGGTCACTGGTAGGGGCGGGACTCTGGATGAGCTACGCCAAGCTGCGCCTGGCGCCTTCCCACGCCGGCCCCGCGCCCGGTGGGTGACTTCGACCTGTGGCGAGGGTAGGCGGCCCTTAGAAGGCTCTCTTCCCGCAGGGGCGGGGGATTACAGAAATCCCGGAAAGGAGGGAGGCGGCGGGAGTGGGTAGAGGGAGAACTGCCTGGGGCTTCAGAAGAATAAACCCGCGCATCCCTTGATGGGTGGGGGAGAGAGGAGAGGAGGAGAGTGTGAGGGGGGCCGGCGCCTGCGCCATTAAACTGCCCTGGGCTGCCCGGAGCCTGGCCGTCACGTCAGCAGACAGGGCGCAGGGCAGGCGCTCACCCCACGCATGTCCACCCCTCCCCCACCTCTCTCCCTCAACCACCCTTCTCCTTAAACCCTCCCCTCGTTTTTGAAATGGTGAGAAGGGATGCCGAAGAAGAACACGAGAAATGCGATCACATCGATTAGGAAGACAGCTTTAGGGGCTCTGGGTTAAAAAATAAAGGGGAGGGGGAAGGGAGAATCCGAGAGAGGAGTGGAAGGACCACGCAGTTATCCCGCCCCGAGTATCTTGGAGAAGCTCAGACCCCCCCCCCCGATCTCCCCTCTCCATATACCAGATCCTCAAGGGCGCTCAGATCGAGGCCCGCACTCACCGGAATCCCGCGTGGAACATGTACATTCGGGGCGCCCCCGGGTTGGCGTACTTGGGAGTGGTGAAGATGTTCTCCTTTTTCAGGGACACGTAGCTGATAAGCGATAAAATCAGCAGGGCAACGCTGAGCATGACCAGCCCCAGCACACTGGCGACCCGGGCCATTTTGCAATTTCTCATCCCGGGCTGAGCTGGGATCAGGGAAACCGGGGCAATCGGTCCATTGAGCGGCCAGCGACTTGCTGGCGTGTGCGCGCGGGTGTGCGTGTGTGTGTGAGTGTGAGTGTGCGCGCGCGTGTGAGCGTGTGGCGGGGGAGGGGACCGGAGCAGGGGGGCCGCGGAGGGCCCGGGGGGAGGTAGACAGGAGCCCCGGGGAGAAGCCGGACCCCGAAAGAAGGGGCGCACGGGCCGGGAAGCTGAGCAGGAAGATGGAGGGGCTGCGTGGCGGCGTGGCGAGGGAGCGCTGTGCGCTGTGCGTCCCCAGCGCCGGCTCAGGCTCCCCTGCGCGTTTCCAGTGAGGCTGCCATCTCCTCCGCCGCCTGAAAGATAAATGTGATCAGAACAATGGTACAGTTCGATCTAAGCACAGGATTTAATTAATGAACTCTAATCTCCCAAATAACCGGGGGAGGGAGCAAAGGGAGGCGGCGGAGGGAAGGAGGGAGGAGAAGCAAAGCTAGAAGGCTGCAGCCCACGCTGATGGCGGTCTCCCCGGCTGAGGGTGCAGACGAGGAGGTGGCTGTAGGGAGATATATGACAAAACTTAGTTTAATGGACCACTCATTACTTTATAAATGTATCACGGAATAGGGAGATAAATAACTGGATTTGCTGCCCTGGAGGAGAAACCACCAGCTGGGTGCTTCTCAGAGGCAGGAAAGTGGTTTTAGGAAGACAGACGTTTAAAAGTTGCTCTGTCACCACTGAGACACCGCCTTAGGACCCGCGGGGCAGTACCAGCCCCCGCACCCCAGTAAGGAAGCCCCAGATTTGGCTGGGAATTTCCTAGAAAGCCTCCCCTGTCTGGCCCCTACCCCCACCACATACTTCACTTCTCTCAAAAAGGTGGATAAACCGACCAAACCCATTACCACAGAGTCATTCCAACTCGTGGTGACCCCATTTGTTACAGAGTAGAACCACTCCATAAGGTTTTCTTGGCTAGAATCTTTATGGCAAAAGATTGCCAGGCTTTTCTTCTGTGGTACTGCTGGGGGGGTTTCAACTGCCAACCATTGGGTTAGCCTTTAGGTTAATAGTCCAGTGCAAATCACTTGAGCTACCCAGAGACCTTTTAAAAGGTGGGTAGCCCTCGCAAAAGAACCCTGGAGGTGCAGTGGTTAAGCACTCAGTTGCTAAAGATTGGTGGTTTGAACCCACCAGCCACTCAGAATGGAAAGATGAGGCAGTCTGCTTCCACAAAGATTATAGCCTTGGGAACCCTATGAGGCAGTTCTACTCTGTCCTTTGGGGTTGCTAGGAGTCTGAATCAACTCGATGGCAATGGGTTAGCCCTAGCAAAGTTGTGAGGTGAGCTATGAGTGTGGAGGGCCTGGTTCACCCTGCCTTGTCCCCTGCTGGGGCCTGGCTCCATGTACCCAGCAGGTGGCCATTGTGTTTGCCCCTGAGTTGATCAGGGCTGTGGGAGTCAGCCCTGGTGTAAGTCTCTTTTGCTCACTTTTTTGACCCATTCCTGGAGCTAGGCCTCTGTGATGGGCCACCTAACTTAGTCCTGAGATGCCCAGAAGCTGAGGGCATTAAACCACATTTATTATAAATACACAGAACTGTCTTTTGAAGGAGCGTAAAGAACCAGGCAAGAGAGGCTCCCTCTGAGGGTGAGAGGAAAGCTCACATTTCCCTGTCTAAAAACTCTCTGTATTGCTTGACCTTAAATTTGTTTTTAGCATATTCACATTGTCATGGATTGAATTGTGTCCCCCAAAAATATTTGTCAACTTGGCTAATCCATGATTCCCAGTACTGTGTGATTGACTGTCCACCATTTTGTCACCTGATGTGATTTTCCTATGTGTAGTAAATCTCACCTCTATGATGTTAGTGATGTGGGATTGTCAGCAGTTATGTTAATGAGGCAGGACCCAATCTACAGGATTAGGTTGTCTCTTAAATCAATCTATTTTGAGATATAAAAGAGAGAAGCGAGCAGAGAGACAGGGGGACCTCATACCACCAAGAAAGCAGTGCCGGTAGCAGAGTACATCCTTTGGACCCCGGGTCACTGTGCCTGAGGAGAAGCTCCTAGACCAGGGGAAGATTGATGACAAGGACCTTCCCCCAGAGCCAACAGAGAGAGAAAGCCTTCCCCTGAAGCTGGCGCCCTGAATTTGGACTTCTGGCCAACTAGACTGTAGAGAATAAATTTCTCTTTGTTAAAGCCATCCACTTGTGGTATTTCTGTTGTAGCAGCACTAGATAACTAAGACACACATGTTACCTATTGTTCTATCAATTGGCAGTGAAATAAAACCATCTTCAGTTGAGCTGCTGGGTGCTTAGAGGAAATTCACATGTTTCTTTAGCTCTATCCTTTGCAATTAGCTTATGGCCCCTTCATCCTAACTGTATCCTTGCTTTGGTTCTCTCAAGCCTAGTCAGTAAGCACTAATGAAAAAAGAAGGAGGTGAGAAGTTGGCCTTAGAGAACTTATCCAACAAAGGAAGTTAAGATATTCCAAGGTGGTTATGACTTTTTTCTTCCCTGTGCTTCTCGTCTTATGGACTTCTGTGGACCTGATGTTATGGTTTATCTCTGGGCTGTAGTTCCTCAAAGGTGTGTGCTCCTGTGCTGTAAGCTTCTTGTGAGCAAGGATCACGTCTTCTTCCTCCTTGTTTTCACATAGTGGCCAGGATATTGTCTCAAGTATTTGTTATGTGCTGTCAAATCGATTTCAACTCCTAGTGACTGTAATCTTTATGGGAGCCGATCATCAGGTCTTTCTTCTGAGGAGCTGCTAGGTGGGTTCAAACCGCCAACTTTTCAGTTAGCAGCCAAGCACTTAATGGTTACTCCATCAGGGCTCATTGATAGAGGAGGTAGAGGGCATGCTTAATATATGAGGATCGACTAAGCTCCAATGTGAAACACACCAGGCTGGGTCCAATGACAAAGGGGGTAATTTTGTACCCACTGAAGACATTCCCACTAAAATCTAGAAATGTGAGGCTTACTTTATTATTTAAAAATTAATTTTCTGGGCTCGGGGCAGCAGGAAGTGGGGAGTTATTGCTTAATGAGTACTGAGTTTCCGTTTGGGGTGATGAAAAAGTTTTGGAAATAGATAGTAGTGATGGTTGCACAACATGGTGAATGTCATTAATGTCACTGAACTGTACACTGAAAAATGGCTGAAATGGCAAATTTTATGTTACAGGTATTTTACCATAATAAAAATTAATTACTGAAAAAATTAATCTTCAGAAAAGATTGCGTGTCTGCACGTGATGAATACTTGAACTATATTTTTTGAATAAGTACTATAGCATATTTTCTGAAAAAGAGGCGATCATATTAATATGTTGTAAAATGCCAAAAGAGTAAGATCTCATGAGAGCTATCCAGAAATTACACATGTGATGGCGCTGGAAAAATTCTTCTTGAACAAGAATTCAGGGGACTTAACTCACGGAGAGTCAGTCCAGGGAAATGGTTTATGCCTTCAGGCTGCAAAACCAGGCAGCCCCAAGTTCAAAAGCTTACTCTGTGTGACAGTGGGGAAGTTGTCAACCTCTCTGGTTCAGGCTCCTCATTTGCAGAACCAGGATAAAAACCCCTCGTGGTTTTGGGGAAGAATTAAACAGGACATGCAAAGGCCTTTGCACTGGGCATGATCTGTATTAAGCAGTAAATAAATATGAGCTAAATGGCTTGGTCAAGTTACTTAGAACCTTTTTCTGACCCCCAAAATGTCCCAGTACAGAACGCATAGGAAAGAATGTACACGGGTGAGGCATTTTCCTACAGAGAATGGCAAAGATCAAGAAGTTCTTCAGTTCCTTTTGTAAAACAGCATTATGGGCTTTCCTGGTACACATGATACAGACTTACTCTGCCCGTATTTAAAAATTGATATATTGCTTATGCTTAGCACACCGCTGCCAACCTTCTAAACAAAAGTCCAAGTAGGATGATTCCCACATTGCGTATTCATCACTGATATAAAGGGACCACATCAGCCAGAAAACAAAAGGTGGGCAGGAACCCTTGCCACATGTGCCAGGCCTATAGGGGAAAACGGATTGCTTAGTAACTACCTGGCGATGTCGCTTCAAAGCACAACTGCAGCTACTGGCTAAGGGATTTTTCGGAACCGAGGTTATAGCTATTTAGTAAATTAAGAAATAATTAAGATCTTTTTTTACAAAATATCACTTACCAAATTTCATTGGAAATCACACACGTGTGGAAGTATAGGAGGGTGAAAACAAGATCTACAGAAACAGAAGACCCTCTGATTTAATGTTATCTAGGGAAAGTGTTCTTTTGGACCCAGGTACTTCCCTTCTCCCCTGCCCCCTAATAGTGCTTACCTCTTGCAAACATGACTCTGTTGCCCTGCAGAATCTCTCCCCAACCCATACCTTTCAAGAGTAATTTCTAGGCATCTCTTGGATGGACAGGATGGTGCCTTTTGTTAGAAACATCATCATTCACTCACTCACTCATTCATTCATCCATTTATTTCTGTTTTCTTCCATCAATTCATTAAATAAAACATCTTTGTTGTCAGACACCATGCTAGGCAGACTCTGGGGTTGTAAAATCACCCCTGTCCTCCAAATCCTATGATCATGTAGGGGAGACATAAAAATAATGGCAGTACTCTGTAAAGAGCTCAGCAAAGAGGACCAATGAGAAACAGGGCGGCCAGCAGGGAAGCAACCACCTCTGCTAAGGTTTTGCGGGGTTCTTCACAGAGGGCAACATTTGAGCTGGGTTTTAAGGCATGAGTACGGTTTATTTGGTTTAAAATAAGGAAAAGCGTGCATCAGGGTTGTATCCTTTCACCATACCTATTCAGTCTGTACGCTGACCAAATAATCCGAGAAACTGGACTACGTGAAGAAGAATGTGGCATCAGGATTGGAGGAAGACTAATTAAAAACCTGCAATATGCAGATGACACAACCTTGCTTGCCGAAAGTGAAGAGGACTTGAAGCACTTACTGATGAAGACCAAAAACCACAGCCTTCAGTATGGATTACACCTCAACATAAAGAAAACAAAAATCCTCACAACTGGACCAATAAGCAACATCACGATAAACGGAGAAAATATTGAAGTTGTCAAGGATTTCATTTTACTCGGATCCACAATCAATGCCCAAGGAAGCAGCAGTCAAGAAATCAAACGACACATTGCACTGGGCAAATGTGCTGCAAAAGACCTCTTTAAAGAGTTAAAAATCAAAGATGTTACTTTGAGGACTAAGGTACGCCTGACCACAGCCATGATATTTTCAATTACCTCACGAATGTGAAAACTGGAAAATGAATAAGAAAGACCAAGAAGAATTGATATCTTTGAATTATGGCATTGGTGAAGAACACTGAATATACCACAGGCTGCCAGAAGAACGAACAAATCTGTCTTGAGAGAAGTACAGCCAGAATGCTCCTGAGAGGCGAGAATGGCAAGACTTCGTCTCGTGTACTTTGGACATGTTATCAGGAGTGACCAATTCCTGGAGAAGGACATCATGCTTGGTAAAGTAGAGGGTCAGTGAAAAAGAGGAAGACCCCCATTGAGCTGGATTGACACAGTGGCTGCAACAAGGGGCTCAAGCATTACAGCGATTGTAAGGATGGTGCAGGACCGGGCAGTGTTTTGTTCTGTTGTATATTGGGTCACTATGGAGTCGGAACCGACTCTACATCACCTAATAACAACAATAACAGTGTTCATTACCAGTCGCCATCCAGTCAATTTCAACTCATTTGTCAAATGGATAACGTGCTCAGCTGCTAACCAAAGAATTAGAGGTTAAATCCACCCAGAGGCTCTTGGAAGAAACTCCTGGTGATCTACTTCTGAAAAAATCAGCTATTGAAAACCCTGTGGAGCACAGTTCTAAACTGACACTCATGGAGTCATCATAAGTTGGAATTGACTTGATGACACAATTCAGTAGGTAGAGAAGTTAAAAAGGATGTTCCAGGAAGAGGGAAGACTAGGTACAGAGGCCTGGAGGTAGGGAAGATTATAATGGGTTTGGGGAACACCAGAGGGTATGAGGGGGCTGACACAAAAGGAGAAGAGCCTAGAAAGGATGTTGGGAACAGACTGTGGGAAGAGGATGCATGTCCTGTATGACGTGCTAAGGAGTTGGCCTGTATCCTCCAGGGACTACTTAGAACTGCCCAAAGTTTTTAGAGGAATGACTAAATTTGAATTGCACTGAGTGGACATGGAGGCAGCTGGAGTCTGGTCCATGGGGGATGGAAACATCGACTGCTCATACCAACATCAGCTGATGTGTCCAGGGGCCCACATGCTAGTCCATATGCTAGAAGCCCCACTGCCCCTTAATTTATCAGTGAACCAATTGACCCTTTTCTTACACAAGGCACTCCTGAATAAGGGATCAGAAATCTAACTTTTGGGAAGGCAATGTCCCATTCCAGACGACATGGAGATCATGGTGCTGGGGGAAGCCCATAGGGAAACTGCTCTTTGGGTGCATGGGACCCGAGTTCTTTCCGTATATGATTGCCTGATTTCCTAGTGTCTAATCAGTCTTGCGGAAACCTTGGTGGTGTAGTGGTTAAGTACTACAGCTGCTAACCAAAATGTTGGCAGTTCGAATCCACCAGGTGCCCCTTGGAAACTCTATGGGGCGTTCTACTCTGCCCTATAGGGTCGCTGTGAGTTGGAATCGACTTGATGGTAATGGGTAAATCAGTCTTGAGCCTTGGTGGCGCAATGGTTAAGCAATCTGCTACTAACTGAAAGATCCTTGGTTCGAACTCTACAGCTGCTCTGCAGGAGAAATATGTGGCAGTCTGCTTCTGTAAAGATTACAGCCTTGGAAACTCTGTTGGGCAGTTCTACCCTGTCCTATAGGATTGTTAGATCTCTAGTTGCCATTGAGTTAACTGTATATACCAGCCACTTTTTATGCCTCTGGACCTCAGAGGTAAGGCGTTATTCCGGTTCTAATGCATTGAGTGTCAAGGTGGGTCCCTTTTGAAATGCTTGCGTGAAGTTCAGCAGAGTTGGAGCCTTATTGTTGTGTAGGTTGAGGATTCTATTAGGTGATGCTTCCTAGATGTGTTAGTTTTGTAAACTTCTGCCTTACCTCTCTTTATTTCCTTTATTTCTGTGAGATAAGATTTGCAAGCATAATTATGACTTTCTTGTGTGATAGGTAGGGAGCCCTGATGGGTTTGTTTTGATTTTTCTGTGTCATATATGGAAAACCAGAGGTTCCCCATGTAACCTAATGGAAAAGTGCCTGCAATAAATTATTTATATAGCTCTGATTGGTATATTGTCATACTACAGATCAGTGGTGCCACAGTGCCACTCGCCTCATTGGTGGCTTGTATTAGCAGATCATATTTCTGAAAATTCATGTTACCAACAAGGAATTTAAACACACTCAATTAGTAAACATGCATTCCAAAACTGAAAACATATGCCATAAAAAAAAAAATTAAGGAGAAAAAATGTAGTAATGAGAAGGCTATGAGTCAGAATTGACTTGACAGCAATGGGTTTGGTTTTTCGTTTAATCAGTCTTGCCACTGAGGAAAGATCTTGGGATCCTTGGAGCTTCCAGCCTCCCTATTTTCCGTAGAAGGTAAACACTTGATGAGTTTAGAGGTGGGAGAACTCACTGTGGTCAAATAAAACTTCATGAAAGATCTCAGCTGGAGCTGAGACTGGAAAAATGCATGGAGTTTTCACAGATGGAGATGATACGAGAGGGCAAGGTGGGCAGAGGCCACTAGGCTGAACAGAGGTGTGGAGGCCAACGAGGAAAAGGCATGCTGGGGCCCAGAATAGACAAGCCCCCACGGAGGAAAGTAAAACTAACCGAGATGTATAGAGCACTTCTTACGTGCCAGGGGCTTTTTGTACATTATCTGTGGTCTTCGCCCTGATCTTACTAGGAACGTATAATTATTATCATTTTATAGCTGAAGACATTGATGTTAAGGGAGGTTAAGGACTTGTCAAAGGCAAAGTCTCTCTGGCTCTAAATCGCACCATTCCCACTATTCCATGCTGCTTTTAAGCCAGTACTGAGACAGAGAGCTAGAAATGTGTGCAGGGCCAGGAAGTTTGAAAGCATGACCCTTCCGGCAGTGAGAACCATATAATAATAATAATAATATCTAACATTTTTTGCACACCTGCTATATACTGGGCGTTATACTAGGCATTTTACATCACTCATTGTCTTCAATCTCTATTCCATCCCTCTGAGAATATGTTGACTACCATCATTTCAAGAATGAAGACACTGAGGCTCAGAGATGTTAAATAACTTGCCAAGGTCACACAGCCAGTGTATTTCAGAAGAGGATTTGGCTCCGATGTGTCCCGTTGGTATTCCAGGGCCCAGAGGAAGAGGCAATTCAACCTTCTCCCTCAGTATTTGTGTCGTCATTCTTCCTGAGCAAGGCAGTACCCACTGGCCTGTTTGAATAAATCACTTAATCACAAGGGTAGGGGAGTGGGGGAAACCAGGAAAAGACCAGAGTGGCGTATCTGAAAAGCTGTGACCTGCCCTGGGGCTGGGAGAAGGCTGGGGATTGCTGGAGCGTGTAGAGGGAGAGCAGCCACCCTGAAGGGACAGCCCGAGTCCCACAGAGCCTCTGCAGCTGAGACAGAGTTTTATTACCATTGAATCCCTTAGTGCCAGTGCAGCACGCAGCACAGACGACACTCAGTGTGAAAAGAAGGCAGCACTTCCCTCTTTATATCTTACCTGAGCTCCAGGCCAGGGAGAAGGTCAGCTGCAGTAGACTGACGAAGAAGCTCACCTGGCTTGATTGGAATGGATGGGCTGACTTGCCTATAAAAAGCTTAATTAAGTTATTAGATTAAGTTAGATGAATATGAACACTTGCACACAATATAAAATATAAAATATAGAAAGGATGCACTGTGAATAATCAACCTCCCTCCCACTCTTATCTCCCAGGGCTGCAGTTACCCTCCCTGGAGACAGCTACCGTGGCCATCCGGTGAATCGCTACGCATCCCCAGGCATATGAGTACGTATTTACTTTTCAAACATAAACTGAGACCAGTTTGAAAAGATATTTATTTCAAGGTTTTTTGTCTGTGTCTCTACAAAATGCGTTTTGCATAGACTTTTGACATCTCCGATGTTTGCAATGATTACATTTTCTTGATGCTAAGGAATTACTCATTTTGTGCCTACAGATGAATGCCCTTCTTAAAGCACAGTGAAACATCTCTATGTGAAGGGAATACAAAAGCTTCAGATAGTCTTCTCCTCTTCATTGAATAAATAAAATACATTTGGAAAGTGTCTGAAGGCTTTTTGCCGTCCAGTCCCTAGGAAATTGTTTGGAAGGAGCTATTATGTTCAATTGTGTTCACCTCCCTGGTCCTTGCATAGGATTATGACTTTTCAGATGTCTGTGATGATTATTTTTTTCTAGAAGCTAAGGTATTATACTTGGAAAAGCTACTTAAAAAAATAATCTTACAGCTAAGTTTTAAGCCATTCTTATGCCTATTGTGTCTCTTTATTGAGATGGCTGTGGTTATGGGAACTCACCCATGGTTCGAGCAGCTGCAATAACATTACCTAGGAAGTGTCAGGGGAGGCGTTTTTTAAAAAAAATCTAATTTTAGCCTTCATTTTGAGTTTTTGAGCAATTTTTGTACCTTGTGCTTCTGAAACTGTAACTCAACAACATATCTTTGAGTGCGGGAAAAAGTACCACTTTTTTTTCCCTTGGTTTGTGCACTGTTATAATAGTATAAAAATGGTAAAATTTCAGTGTGATTTTAAAGCCTGCACTGCCATTTGCTGATTTATTGATAGATACTGCTTTCACAGAGGAAATGGTAGGACTGTTGAAGGATGGGAGCCCTGGTGGCGCAGTGGTTAAGAGCTTGGCTGCTAACCAAAAGGTTGGCAGTTCAAATCCACCAGGTGCTCCTTGGAAACCCTATGGGGCAGTTCTACTCTGTCCTATAGAGTTGCTGTGAGTTGGAATTGACTCGATGGCAATCGGTTTGATTTTTGTTGTTGTTGAAGGATGATTGTTAAACATCCCCTTTCCTGGGCTCCAGACCCCAAACCCAAACCAAACCAAACCTATTGCCATTGAATCTATTCTGACTCATGGTGACCCCAAGTGTGTCAGAGTAGAACTGTGCTCCATTGCATTTTCAGTGGCTGTGATGTATGGAAGTAGATTGCCAGGTCTTTCTACCACAGCAGTACTGGGTAGATTGGAACTGCCAACCTTTCGGCTACATAACAGAGTGCAAACCATTTGCACAACCTGGGGACCTGGAATCCAGGCCCTAGTTTTCCCTAATCATAAACAGATGCTTCTAGCTGAGATTTCTTGTGTTTTGTTTACAGGGAATTCACCGAGGTAAGAGGTCACTGGACTTCTAATATTGAAAAACTCAGTCTCAGGAGGGACGAAGAAATGCTTGAGCTACATCCTGTTTCACATTATGAAACTGCATGATTCTGTATGATAGTATTTTCATTCCTTTATGGGAAAAAATAAACTCAGGGAGGCTAAATAACTTGTACAAGATCACAGCAGCTTTAAAAAATATGGGATTTTTATATAAGACTGAATGACTCCAAAGATATTCTTTTCGTCAAACCTTGTTGCCTCCCAGGGCCAGAAGATTATGCTCTGTACCCTGGGGCATAAAAAATGCTTCTTCAAAGACAATGTTTCTCATTAAAAAAGGAGCCCAGGACATGCTACCTACTTTGGCTTCTATATCCCTTCCTCCTCATGGTAAGCCTTTTACAAGGATGTTTGAACACAAGAAAAGTGACTTCTCCATGGATGAGAAGAATTCTGTGTTTCTTTGTTTCAAAACCCTGTTTTGTCTGGTGGTTTTACAATTTTACATGCAAAAAGGTCTACGTCTTGTTGGAAGTGATGTAGAGTGAAGGAGTGGTGATTTGAGTGTCTACTTCTGTTTTGAGAAGGGCAGTTTCAAAGGGAGCCTTTCTGCAGGTGGAAGAGGTTGGGTGGAAAGTATCCGAGAAGTTGAGAAGTTGCAGGCAGATCAGCAATGTAATTAGCACCTTCTGCCTCATAGCAACTGGAGTAGAAGGAGCCAGGGCAGGCTCAGAGGCCAGAGGAAGGTAACTGATCTGCCCCAAGTTATCTCTGATGCTTACGCCAGTTGTCTGACACCTTATTTAATTCCTACTTAGGAGCTGGCCCATCGTTTTATTCTTGCTCTTAGTTTAAACTGCTCATTAGAAAAAAGAAACTCAATCATCATGTATGCTATTTCCTTGACAAAAATGGTATTTTCTTGTGTTTTTACTGAGGGAAAATATCAAACCAAAAGTGAGTAGAAAGCATGTTGTAATACTACTTGTCATATCTACGATCATATATGATTACAGAAAGCCTCCCAATTGGACCTTCATCACCCCAAACAGGTATCACCTGGGGGCAGGTGCTACTTCAATTGCGGTCAGAGTTTGCCAAATATTGAGAGTATTGCTTCATTTCCTGGAGACCTGGCATAGCACATATAGGTAGGCACATGCAAGTACATGGGGTAGACCCCGCGGTGGTCTCTGGATGCTACTGCTGGTTTTGGCTCAGTATTGGGCAATCTTCCCCTATTTGCCCAGGGAATTGAAGATTTTCTGATCCTGCAGCACTGCCTACACACACAGACTCGTCTCAATCTATTGTCTGCCTTCCGCATTCTCTGTAACATTTAGGATTGACAACTAAATGGAGATCTTATAACATTAACTTACTTTTAATCTTTAGACCAGTGTCTTTCAATTCTTTAATTTTATGTTGGATGGCTGTGTCTTTAGCAATTTTAGCGGGGATTTGCAAGACTATGGAAACTGCATCTCTTATAGATCTGGCACAAGGCCAGCTGTGAACACCTGCCAGTTGCCAACGGCCTCAGACCTTTCGACAGTGGCAGTGAGCACTTATCAAAGGACACCCTCTTTGTGAGCTCAGTGTGGAAAGGCAATGCTGGTTCCATGTAAGCCTTTACAGTTGCTAATCACTGTCTTTAGGACCACCTTTGGGGAAAAAAACCTGACAACCATGTAAATCTTCCATTTTTATAGCAGTTCCATCTTTTTTTCAAAGTACTCTCACATCTATTATCTCATCTTGACCTCCCAAGGAACCTGTGAGTTGGGCAGAGCAAGTACTTCTATCCTGATTTCACAGATAAGACACATGGAGGTTAAATCACACAGCAAGGAAGAAGGAGATGGGGGCTAAGCATCCATGTCTGATGTGAAGACTGCTAGTCTCTCCACTAGAAAGACACTCCCCCCTTTTTTATTTTCTGCAATCTGGCTTTTCCTGCTACTACTCTACTGAAATCGCTTTATTTAAAGCAGCATTTCTTGATGCTACCTGCACATGGGAGTCACCAGAGCAACTTAAAAATAATACCAATGCTCAGGCCCCACCCAGACCAATTGAATCAGGATTTTGGGTGTAGCTCACAGGCATCTGTGTGTTTTAAAGCTCCTCAGATGGGCAGTGTTTCACTCAGTTGTACATGGGGTCGCTATGAGTCAGAACTGACTTGAAGGCACATAACAACAACAACAGATGAGTCTGATGCACAGTGAAGATCAAAACCCATTGCTAGAAGCTTACCAATGGCACCCCTCATGTCAAATTCAGTGACTTTTCCTTAGCTACTACTTGGGAGCATTTGACATCCATTTCTTCTTTTGGCTTCCATGATATGACACTTTCTTGACTCCTTGTTCTCTTTGATGGCACCTTCCCTGTCTTATTTTCTTGTTCATCATCTTTGTTCTGTCTTCCTGTGTTAGATGACTTCAGCCTTACTCTTGTCTCTGCAGTCAGATGGTGATTGGGACTAGTGTAGAGGATTGTTCAAAGAAGGCTTTATTTTCAAGGGCTTGGATATTAGACCGTAAGCTTCCCAAGGGCAGAGGCTTTATTCTGATCATTGCTGCAGTTCTAGAACCTAGGACGGCGCCAGGCACATGCTCAATAACTCAGTGAAGGATCACATCTATATGCGTGAACCTCACATCTTTGTAGACAGTCCTCACGTGCAGTCCAGTCCTGTCCCTATAATGCCATCTCTTGGATGTGCCGCCATCTTCTGAAACCCAACCTGTTCAAAACTGAGCCCATTGCCTTCTTCCCTCCTACAAAATATCTCCTTTAATGTTTTCCAACCACTTCACTGCTTCCAGTAGCTTCATCCTTTCAATCATTCAACTCAGCAGAACAGCAGGGACTGTGCTTCATTAGAATCAGAGGAAAGCTAGTTTTGTTGTTGTTATTATTATTCCTGTTTACACAAAAGGAACCTGAATAATTCAAGATAATGTGGTTCACTGTGGCAGAGTCAGGATTACAGCTCAAGCCTTTAGGCTCCTGGGTCAGTACTCCCTCCCATCACTCCAGTGTTTCCCCACATGGATGATTCATCTTCATCCTCCTAAATTAACCGTCCTCGTGGCTGGCGCTTCACCATTGGGGATCCCTGCTCAGAATTCCCAGGTCTACACACCCTGTGGCTGTTTGTTATTTCTCATTTGTACCATCTGCAGCATCCCTCCAAAGCCCCCAGGAACTCAGAGCCCAAAAGCACTCCGGGTCTGGAGGAAATTCCAAGGCAGATCTGTAATTACCAGCAAGGAGCTTCCTGATCCAACATGCTCTCCTGTCAGCAGGACACAGTGTTCTGTCACTGTGCTCACCGCCAGGGACGGCTGTCTTCCAGGGTCAGCTCTTCTCTGGGCACATGCCAGCAGTGGTCCTTGGCAAGTGGAGCTTCTTTGTCTCAGAGAAGAAGAAGCTGTTTTAAGGGGTTCATCCTAAGAATCCCCAAATGGAGAAAACCCAGAACTTCAGTCAACACTGTGATGTTAGAGACAGTGGTGGTTTTTGAAGATGAAGAGAATTTAGAAAGAGTAGCCCAGAAAAAAAAAAGAACGATTATTTATTGTGTTTCCTGCATGTCGGGCTCTATTCTACATGCTTCCCATGTGTTCCCTGACTTAATTCTTACAACTTTATGAGAGAGGTACAAGCATTGTCCTGTCAATCTACTGTATTTTCAGGGCCCATTCACTCTTCTGCTCCCTTCACCTGGGTGATCTGGTCACACCTTCTCTCTCCTCCATCCTTCACACCAACTGCCTCATTTGCACTCTCACCTGATGACGACATTGAGAAAACTAGAAGTCTGGCTGAGGTGTCAGGCTTCCCCGGGGAAATCCGATCCCACCTCAGGCTGCAGTTTCAGCCTCCCCTCTCTGAAGCAACTCTTGTCTCCGTGTCATTTCACTGGGAGCTGTGACTAGGGATAAGTTTCCATTGTCTCAGCATCAGGGTCTTCTCTTGGGGAGGGGAGAGCTTTTTTGAATGGGGTCAGGGCTGCTTATTGGGGGTCAAAGCAGAAGGGTGTCTACCAGTGTGCTGTAGAATCACAGAAGGTTAGAGCAGAGAAAAAACAAAACAAAACAAAATAAAAACCAGTTGCTGTCAAGTCAGCTCTGATTCATGGCGATCCCATGTGTGTCAGGGTAGAA